CTCAAAACTTGAATGAGTTCAACTGCGTGCAGAGCTTTTCACCAAAAATTAAAAAGTCAATTTACTAATGAACGTAGACTGCAGACAACCTGTCTTAATGAGTGCTGGAATACGCCGATATACCTCTAAGTACTCACATTCGCATTTATTTCGTGTCTAGCATTTGTGTGAGGTTGCGTGTTGCCATATTATTTAACATGATTTTCTTTTAAAAGATCAACATAGCGCCAACGGTGCTACTGAATGTTCAGTAGACATTTGCGGGCGTGGCCAATCAATAGTAACTAGTGGGGTTTTACTTAGTTTACGGAATGAGTAATAAATTATTTATGTGAGATCATAAAAACTAGTTTCAGATTTATTACATGATTAACTGCTCATGTTTATCGATACTATACTTAATAATGGTAACTGATTCTCCATTCGTTTCTTATAAATTGAGTAAAAATTTATTTCACGTTGGCTGATTTGGAACTAGTAACATAAAAACTAATTATCAACTGGTTTTATATGCCCTCATAAACTACTAGTTTCATTTGAACTGGAGAAAATCTGGATTTACTTCGACTTGTTGAGTTTGACAGTGTGCACTATTTTTTAATTCAGTATGTTTTGGATCTATCTATAAATACCATATATGTATTCGTACGGTTTGCCACATGATGGCGTAACTAGATTATTATAACATTTTTCAAATATTCCGTTGCTTGAACGCTATTAAATGAAGTTGTTTCTGCATTGGATTCTGACTGTTGATGAAAAATGGAACGCAAAAAATCATATATGAAATTTGGTCAACCAATCAAATCAATGGCAAAGCCGAATACTGTATGTTTCTGGTGGGAGCGAAAGGGTTTGCTAGTCGTATATTATGAGCTTCTAAAACCGGGTGAAATCATTAATTAGGAACACTAGACACTAGCTCATTAAATTGAAGCGAGCGATTACCAAAAACGCCCAAGCCTTGCAACAAAACATGAGGCAATAATTTTCGAACATGACAAAGCTCGGCCTCAGATTGCAGGACCAGTTATAAACTGTTTGTAAAACAGCCGCTGGGAAGATAGGAAGAAGGATACACATCAGTGTATCAAAAAGTGTCTTGATTCATTCTTGGTCGCCAAGCGGCGCTGTTCTTTTTTGCGTGGAATCCACAAATTTACTAGAAAGAAGAGAAAATGTTATATCTTCAGATGAGCAATATTTTGAATAATACTATTGCACAGGTTTTTTTCTTTTTTTTTTAAATAAACATTTTAATTTTAAAAAAGCCTACCGATCCATATTATTAAAAATAACACACTTCTCTTAAATAAACTGATTTACAACTACATAGCGTCATCTGATCAGATTCAGCACTAAATTGGTAAAATTAAGCCAAAACTAGCTTCTTATGACTTGGTTCAGAACTTATTAACTATGAACTGAATCTAAACTAGCTTGCTACTCTAGAGATTTCGAGTAAAGTATAATATCAGGTGGTTCAAAATTTTTTTGAAGTCAAAGTAAAAAAAAAAAACGCGTAAAAGCCTTATTTTAATAGTTGCAACACAAAACTTCCTTGTATCGGTTGGTGGCTGCAGCAACTTTCCTCTCATTGTAATCAATTTTCGCGCTTCAAATATTTTTGGGATTTGCACACACACACACATACTTTCAACACATGTGGCATGCATGCAAGTATGTGTATAAGTATTATTGCGGCCGCTAATTGTTGTTGAACAATAATGTATTTCATGCAACAGACCACAATTTCGGAAGTTACCACGCAAATGGTCGGTTTTGTTGTTGGGTTTCACTTATTAGTGCTGTTTATTTGATGCTACAAGTACATGTACACAAATTTGATTTAATGTTATTGACTTTTCACTTTACAAAATCAAATGGAAATTCATTTTAATTATGATTTTCATTTGCCAATGCGGTTTAATACAGTTCGCCGCATTTAAGGTGGTGTACCCGCTTTCGCCATGTTTGCGGGATTGTTTGTGTGGAGATGTTGTTGTTAGTACTTTGTGTTTTTGTTTAGTTTTGTTTACGTGTCTATAATTTAAGTAACTTTTACTAAAAACTTTAAACGGATGTAGAGTTTTCAGCAAGCTTGGTATCGAGAAGGGCAAATTTCTAAAAATTTCAAATTCTAAAAAATATAAATATGCTTTCAATGCTTACGCAAAAGCGTTTCAGAAAAGTGCTCCTCTGTGATTTTCTTTTCTCTTAGAGATCAACCTGTGCACCCATGGCGTATGAGTAACCCAATACAAGTACAAAGGAAAAATTAAACGTTTTCTAAAGCTAAACATTTTTTTTTTCAGCGTTTTTTTTAACAACATAATAAATAAATTTCTTAAACCATAACTGAGAGTCTAATTCATTAATTTTCTTGCATAGCTCCAACGCTTCAGTCTTCTATAACTTTCTTTCTTCTATTATACCACAAGTAAGGCCTCTGCTGACTTGCTCCATCAGCTTCACATAAACTTTTCTATTATCTCTAAGCCAATGCAAAATTTCCATAATTTTGTCTACTCACACAACAATGAAGTAAAAATCTATTTATTTGCACTTTTTTCCTGTCATAAAACTTTGCCTTGTCTCGACTGCGGCATGTTCGGCAATGTGGTCTACGCTACTTTTCTTTCTCTCTTCTTTTCTAACACAACTACTTTGGTCCTTAGAAGAAAATCGCAGATTTAGATGGGTTAGTTTCACAATATCAAGTGAACTAAAATTCCAAAACAAAAGAAAGCGAGCAAAAGAGCAAACCGCATACGAGTACGTAGCGAACTAGTGCAGCAGCGAAGCGCACAGATTGGCAGCGTCAAGCTGGCAGCGTGGCTGGTCGGTGGTATCATGTGACTATGGAAAACTAAAACCTAAAATTGAAAATATTTCGAGGAATTTATAAATTATCATGTCGTAAATGTTGGATAAGCGCTAATACAAATAAACGCATATGATCCCGCAGACGATAATACATGCATGTGTGTAAGTGTAAGTGTATGTGTGCGCATATTGCTTGCTTGAAAAGTGATTGGCGTGCACATGTAAAGCGGCGTGGTTGCCTGACAACATGTCGGTATATTAAAAATTACATTAAATTTCAATATACATACGCTCATATATATATATGTATTTGCGTACGCTTATATATGTTATGTGTGTGTGTATGTATATTCAGTTTGTGCAAAACCATTGCAGTGTAAAACATCATCACTCAGCAAGACTTCAGTTGTCATAAGCAGCACAGCACTTTATAATAGCAAGTAATGCACATGCACACTCACACGCACACAAATACACGGCTTCTTTATTTCGTTACCTCGAAGATTTTACGCACACTGTTGGAAGCCTGCAACTTTGTTGTTTCTTGAGGAAATAAAAAATTCTTCCGAACCCGAAATTAAAAATATCACAGATTAATATTTTGTTGGCATTTACCGTAAAGTATTTAATGATGTTATACTTTTTCAATACCTCACGTTTAACCTGCATAGCTTTGCACCCACTATGACCACAGAGGAATCTTTAAGTTTTTCTCTTTTATTGAAATTATATTTAGCTCAATTTTAGCTGATACATTTGTATATTAAAACATAATATATAATTAAAAAATTTCCACTGAAAAAGTAATTTATTTCTCAAAAATTTGCTTATAAAGCTGTAACTAATTATTCAGTGATTGGGTAAGGTGTAAAACCTCGCTATAAATGCCTACATGGCTAAATGTAGGCAACGTTTCCGTTTAATGTCTTCGGTAGAAGTTCTCTTAGTTATCTGAAATAACATATTTCTGTGGTGTGACACTACTAAAGAAGGTAGCAAATTATGCGTTAAGCTTTTAATACGTTTTTTTTGGAATCGGTTTATGATTTTTGAACATCAAAACGCAGGCCTTATGTAAGTGCAAATTGCAGCATTGAAACATGGCTTATTAGATATTCCATGATATATTTTAATGCTGCTATTTTAATGTTTTTACTTCTCAATTTTAAATGTTTCTATATTTTTAATTAATACTTTCAAAACAGCTGGTATATTTGAACTATAATAAGGTGTGAAACTTCGCTAATCTTGTGTGCCGTAATGCATGCAACGTTTTTTCGCCTTATGCTGTATGACATATAAATTAGTTTAGCCCTAAAAGAACGTAATATTAAAGTAACAAGGTAATAACATAATAAAATAAGGTGAATCTCTTAAAATATGTATCTCTAAAGAAAACTAATTAAAAATTAGTCGAATATAGATACCTAGCATTGTTAATGCATACATATTGCCATAGAAGTATGCGATCTCTTTAAACCTCAAATAGGTCAAACATTTTTCCAGTTTCCATTTACATAACCCCACCGATACCGTTATGCAAAAATGTTAGTAATTTCCATGAAATTGCACGAATTGTTAAACGGCTGTACTGGGGTTTACATTTCCCTTAAACCTTAATTTGAAAACAGTTGTAAAATAATTTTACCCGCAAACAAACAGCTGCACACACATACAAACTACGCTACCAATATACACATCTATTTATATAGTATATATATGTGTGTACTTTGTGAATTTATGTGGGCCGGAAACAATATTGCCTTTAATGCAAACGACTTTTGCGGCAAAACCTTTAGTTGCGTTTCGAAATTCCCAAACATTGAATTAAATTGCTGTCTATGGAAGACCTGCTGACCATAATAATTTCAAATAGCAACAACACAAATGAAATGTAAATGCACGCATTTGTATTTATCTGGACTTGGCTCGGAATGTGGCCAGTGTCATCGCCACACTCGACCGCCTCCCTTTCCATTTGATTTGCTTTGGCTGAGACTGCAGACACACACATATACACACAGGAAAATGCTGTTGCGTATGCGCCATGACATCCTGTTGCGTTGTGTTGCTCTACTTATTTGCTGTCTTTTGCTTATACTTGCCTATTTTGCATATTTCTAATGTTATTTTCTCGTTCTGCTTGTGTATTTTCATGCTCTGCCATCGCACAGTGCCACCAAGGATCCATCACATTAGCACCGGCGGACATTTGCAAGTCAAAAAGGGCTCGTCGGTGCGTATTGAGTGTTCGGCATCCGGTAATCCGACGCCGAACGTAACTTGGAGTCGTAAGAATAATATTTTGCCCAACGGTAAGATTTGAATAAGTTACAAAACATTTAAAATAAATATACTTTGCGTAGTAACCTTCCTACCACCACAGTTCCTGTATTATGTTTGTGCTTCCACTCGTTCCCCCTCAGTTTGTGAATAATTTTTTCTTTATAGTTTATAATTTAAGTAAAAATTTTAGGAACTTTTGTTTCAGCTTGTGTTTTGTTTTATTATTTTATTTTTGTAACTTAATTTTTATTTTATTATTTGTGTTTTTTTTTTATTTAAATTTTCTGTTTCCTGTGTACACATTTACGCATTTCCACCTGTGCATAAACCTTGAATGTCCTCACCATCGATCTGTGCTTCAGCAGAGCTGCTGCATTTATCAAAAAAGTAAATAAATAACGACAGAATATAAATGTAAGTATGAAATATGTGGCACAACGCCTAAAAGCACACTTCGTCTGTCATATTTATGTAGAAAGCGCAGTGATGTCAGTTGATTTAATTAAAAGTGCCATTCAATTTTATTGACTCACATTCTCGCAGCTCACACTGCCCGCATGCATTTTACGCTCAACTTCTGGTTTTCTGCATTTTTTTTAATTTTATTTAATTTATTTCATCTTTTATACTATTTTTATTTTTGTTTTTTTTTTAATTTAATTTTTTTACTTCAACAGCTTGCCATGCCACATTCTTCAATTCCAGCATCCTTCGTATATCGACCACTTCCTTTTTCGTGGTATATTTCCTCCTACTCCACGTCCTCTCATCATTCAATCACTCAGTTATTCCATCACTGCAGTAAATTTATTTTATTCACATGTCCCGTTTTTTATATTGCTTTTCCCGATTTTCTCCAACAGGCGAGGAGAAGCTACACTCGCACATCCTGTCGATTGAGAACGTGGACCGGCACAAGGGCGGTGTCTACATTTGCACAGCCAACAACGGCGTCGGTCAACCGGCATCCAGTCAAGTCGTCCTGCATGTCCTATGTAAGTAGCGAAACCAAAGAGCAGAACAAAATCGCTTTTAATAAATATTGTACAATATAATGTAGTGAGGACAAAAAGAACATGAGAGAAAAATCGAAACAGTAAAGTATCAGGCCGGCATGTGGTTAAATACTCACCGTCGAACGAGTACAAATGAAAAGTGCTCCTATTTATTTATGCGCTCTTGTATGCAGAGCTTCGTTATGCGTTTACGCATACTTGCCGTCCAAGCGATATTATGGAGGTCTGTGTAAATGTCTCTGCTTATGCTTGTGTAAATACTTTGCTCTTTAGCAGCACTGCTTTCGAGTGAGTGCTGTCAGTTAAATTCGATTAGCGAATTCGTCCGATAAGATTGGTAAAGTTAAACTAAAATGTAATGAAAAACAACCTGACGTGTAGTATACTTTAAAGAATGTGTTTCGTTTTTAAATAGTTTCTCGCACTAACAAGTTTAGAACAGATATATAGAAATGGAGATAGAAACAGTTATAGAGGTAATTATAGATAAAGAGTGGCAGATAAATACAATAACGGAGATACAAAAATACAAGAAAAAACGTTAACTTCGGTTGCAGTTTAATACTTCTTCTAAATATAAAAGATTCCATAGACGAATGAAACATAATCCGTGCCAAATTTCGTGACGATATCTTGTCAAATAAAAAAATTTGCCATAGGAGGACCTGATTTTAATCGTTCAGTTTTTATGCCAGCCTTATGCTATAGTGGTCCGATATCGACGGTTCGGAAAAATCAGCAGCTGCTTGGAGAGAAAATAACGTGTGCAAAATTTCTCACAAAATTACAATAATTAAGGGACTAGTTCCACACATACAAAAGACACTCGTCACGCTGAATCATTATATATATACTTTCTAGGGTCTCCGACTTTTCCTTTTGGGTGTTACAAATAAAACAATGATGATTAAGACCGACATTGATATTGATATTGAAGTTTTATGTATGTTAAGTTTGAGACTAAGCTTGAGAAGGAGTTGGGAATGATGTTTAAATTTAATATGGGTACATATTTATAGAAGTTAAGTATGGATTATTTCATGTTATTGTAAAAGAATAAAATATATGAAATGGATGAGGTTAAGATTAAGGTTGAGGTTAATATTGAGATTAAGATTGATGTGGCGGTTACGCTTGAGGTTAGAGTAAAAGTAAGAAAATGTATTTCTATTAAACACAAAACTAAAGGTTTAGTATGAAGGAATTTGAATATAAAACAATGAAGTGCCATTTCATTTAAAGCACCAATAATAATAATATATTCCTTTTTTTAAATTTTTTTGTCTGCTGTTTACAAATCTTCCAGAAGATATTTATAATAATTATTCATTTTCAGATCCACCTGAGATATCCGTTGAGCGTCCTATAGTCTTCTCCGGTGAAGGACACGAAGCAATGCTGGTCTGCATAGTCCATGGGGAAACACAACCTGAGGTATATTCCACTTTAAATCATTAATATAATGAAACCACATAAAATGTTTAAAAGATAATTGGAAAGAGTGTTTGTGTTAAAAAACAAAACTCTGAAAACTAAAACTCCCTAAACACTTAACACCAAATAGTCACCACATATCATTTCAGGCTCCTTAGCAAAATTAAATGCGCCCCGCGAGCTCATTAGTGAGCGTGACAGTTAGTTGATGGAATTCGTTGTCAATATGCCCGACCACTTTCCGAATCTAAATGGTTGTTTGCTTATACGAGGTTTATGTTTATTAGTTGTTTTTATTTCTTTTGCGATTGTATTTAAAAAATTTATTTATAAATATATGTGTATGTGTGGTTGTATGCGTTTGGGTGTTGGCTACGCTGGAAATCATCATTTTGAAATTGGTATTTACGAGCGTGTCTGCGGTCAATGCACAAAAGCGTGCATCCGAGAGTCATACAACTGTCATGAAAATAAATACTCGCCGCAATACTAACACAAATGCAAGCACCGAGACACACATACATGCACACGCCATTCGCGCGGTTACAGCGAAAGTGTGGAAAAATAATTGCGTTGGGCGGTAATACCCTAACCAAGAACAACAACAAAAACAACAAAAAAACAAAAAATAAATAAATGTCAATTGACGAAATTATATGAGTGAAAGGCAACTCGCTTGCTGAAAACTGGCATTTCTATGGAAATTATTATGCACACTAAATCCCCTGCTCAGTCAACCGGGAAAGCTATGCGCGCCATCATTCGCCATTTTCACTTTATTAGCGCATTTTTCTCTGAATCACTTCAGTCAGCAGCGTCGTATATGTGTGTGTGTTTGCATTCTATTTTGCACTTTCCATTTGCGCGCTGCTGTCATTACGCGCTCACAAATGTTTTATTTTTGCTGGGTCACATTGGGCGTGGCGGCACTTCTGTTGCTGCTTCGTTGCAGAAAACAACATTTCCCCATGCAATTTGTACATTTGCCTTCACTCGACTATTCATTGCACTGCATTGACTCATTCGTTTTTGCTCGCCATGCCCACTTTGCATAACTCTCGTGTTTATTTATGTTAATGATACACAAGCTAGTATACAATGCCATAGTCAACGGTTGAGGGGTTAAGTTGGTATGCGCAAATTATTATATATAAAAATTCTATAGGTACTTTTGTCAAAAATTGCCACCAGTGTATTTCACCTGCTGTAAAGCTTTTGCAGCGAAGCTTTCACAAATTTTCATTTTAAATCAATAACTTATTTTCTAAGAAAAATTATATTTAATTAAATTTCGTTAAATACTTTTACTTTGCATTTATGGCCTTTACCGTAAAATAAACAAAAATTATAAATAAACGAAATTTCTTTTTTTCAGTCTTCTTGCGTGATTTTGCTGGTTTATCGTCAGCGCATTTTTGAAATGAGCACACTTTTAATGAATTCTCACATTTTATGTACATATACAATCAGTAACGCGGAAGAATACAAATAAGCATTATAGGGTGCGACCAAATGATTAACTTTTCTTGTAATTACTTAATTCAAAAGCTGTTAATTGCCAATATCTTCTTCAATATATAACTAAAACAAAATATAATTATTCACAGAATAGAAATTTTGGAATATAGAGTCGCATAGAATTGAATTTAGTTTTACGCTATTTTCGAAAATAGCTTTGAACGCCGAGCTTTCACTAATTTAAGGTTTGAAAAGTTATTATATTATATTTAGATTGCGAAATTCTATCAAAAATTAAAGCTTTAAGTTTTCGAAGCTTTAACTACTTTCACTGAAAGCTTTTATGATAATTATAATACAAATATACTGCGAGCTTTCATTAAAAAATAAAACTTTAAGCTTACAAAGCTTTAGTTGAAAGTTTTAATAATAATTATAAAAAAATTAGACCCAAGCTTCCATTAAAAATTAAAATTCTAGGTTTTCAAAGCCTTCACCACTTTCATTGAAAGCTTTTATAATAATTTGTTTCTTATAATTTCTCTCATCCTAATGCCTGCATATACCAGTTTATATTGTCCAATGTAATGCAACATGGTGAGCGTGTTATTTTACCGTTAATTATGTAAATTACCTGAGCGCTAAATTGCATTGCAAACAGCGTGAAAGGTCATGCAAATATTGTGCTTCGCGGCATTCCCTTGAGCAACGAAAGCAGAATGCATATACATCCCATACATAAACGTCGTGTGAAGTCAGGGTAATTTTCAAATGACCCAGACGTAATTTCAGCTGAGTGTCGATGTTAAGGGAAAAGAAAATATTTAGGTACGTAAATATATAATTGTATCTGCTAAGAGAAGAACTCTTTATTCCGTTTTTCAAAGTGAAGAAAGTTTTAAAAAGTGCAGTAATATTAACAATACTGCGATCTTTAGAAGCATTTTTCTTCAATTTCCTTCTGCTGTAGGTTCGAGTTTGAAATTATAGCAAAGTATCGTATATTTAGTAGACTTGGACCTCGCTGGCTAGTTCGTAATCATAATATAATTTATTTACTAAAAGTATTGCTATGATAATAGTAAAAATATGAACCTAAAAAACTAAAGGCATGCAATTTGAGTTTAAAAGCTCTTAAATTTTGCTTTACAGCCAACTCTCCTATTGACAACAGAAAACGCTGAACGAGACCCTAAGCGGATTTAATGGAAACTTAGATGGTTCGACGTAATGTCGAATGACCTTTTTTTATTTATGACCAATTTTAAACAATTTAAAATTCGAGAAAACATTTTTTTTAATTTGAGAGCTTTTCGCGAATCGCAAATCAGATTTTTTTAGTAAAATTTCAGATTTTTAATAACCATAAAAGTTAGATTATTTTAAAAAATTTGCGGAGTGACAAAAAACTACATGTTCACCAATTTTGATAAAAATTTTATTATTGTATGCAAAGTACGTTTCTGAGCCGATACAAGCATGCCAACGCTTAATCCAATTTTTCATACACTTGTTGTAAGTCTCAGCTTGGATGACTTTCAGACCCGTCGACTTTCAAATACGATCAGAAAGTAAGTCAGCATTATTATTCGTTCTAAAAAAGAGAGCAGAGCAGGGCGGCCGACAGTGGCCTTGTGAAGCATCACGAAGAGAATGACTTGTTTGTTTCAGCCTCTGACGTACATAAGAGGCTAAGAGAGAGAAGAATTGTACTTTAGTAGGTAGCCTGTTATATTCATATCCGCTCAACCTAAGAATATATAATATATTTGTAGTGAGAGAACTATAAAAACTTTTCCCAAGCTACCACACCTGCCTTAATACAGGTATAGGTAACATGTGATAAAAATATTCGACTTAATTAAAATCGCTTTTTCGATTTGCGATATATCATCAAACCTTTCAAGCCAAGTTGAGTTTGAAAATAATTTACCTCTCATGTTTGATATAATCGTACATATATTATATACATATATATATACTTGTATATTAAAGTACGTGTACTTATTAAGCGATTGTCGATGCATACTCAAGTAATTCCAATTATGAGAGCCGTCTGAAAGCCTCGAAATTAATGACAAATTTGTCAAAAGCACTTAAAAAATGAACAAACACACACATACGCACACTAATCACACACAGACACCAAAAAGCATATGCGCAAAGACTGATGACACACCAGCATTGACGAATTGATGAACACAGCGAGACACACTCGAACATGTCTGTTTACTAAAAACACAAAAACACATTACTACAACAACAACAACAATAATGGCGATGATAATGATTTACCGCACGCTTTCGCACCTACAAAATAGGCCATCAACACCACCAACATTTTGCATTTGCATTGACGAGCGAGATTGACAGCACAATTTGAATTTGCATTCGTTTAGCTCATTTCGGATATGAGCTCGTCAGCCAACGGCTCCTCCCGACCACACATTTAACAGGTGCATCAATACATACACATCTTTTCGTGTGCATGTGTGTGTGTGTGTTTCTGCGGAGTAAATTACTTTGCAAATTAATTTTCAAATTAGAGCAGCGAATAAGCAAATCGATTAAGCAGCCAACACGACGCGTCCGCCGACGATTCCTCAGGGCACCTCGAACTCCCAACAGTGCACGCGCTTAGCAGGTGGTAGAAGGAGCGAGTGTGTGTGCCAAACACCAAGCACACTGCAGAAACGCCAACAGATTCATATGGGGTGTGTGTTTGTGTGTGCGTATGTGAGGCTCCGAGCTATTTTAATATTTTAATGAATTGATGGATTTGCACGTAAATCAACTCGAAAACACTTGAGCAGCCATTCAAAATGAAAATAGTATGAATAAGCGAGTAAGAGTACACACTCAGCACTGCGGTGTGGCGTTGTGCCGAGTACAGTTAGATGTTAGCTGACAAAATGATGGACTGGCAGACTGGCTGAGCGCTCTGTTGGTTTGTCGGTTGGTTGACAGGCTACCAGCTTGTCGCTTTGATTGATTGACTTGCCGACTTGCATGCTGCCTGGCAGATTTCACCAAAGCAGCGCAGCGTCGGTGCGACATAAAGGTGTTATTATTTTATGCGGCTCGAAAGGCTCATGCTTTTGTATTTGCGTGCTATTGTTGTTGTTGTTGTTGACGAGAATAATCAATGAACTCATATGAATTGCGGCAAGTGCTTACATAAACAATCGTGTTTGTTAGTGTATGGATCTGTGGCATGTTGGTAATAACTCATATATAAATCTTATTTGTTTGAATTTCGTTGATCAAGAGATCCCAAGTCAAGTGTCAAAATCACTTAAAGGTCTATAGTCTACACTTCTAACTGTACATGTGGCAAATGTGACAGATGCGGTTGATACTCAACAGCGCAAACACTTAACAAACTAACACATATACACATGTATGCATGTGACGTTCTGGTGAAGTGGCAGTGTTGCTGGAAAAGTGCTATTAAATATTTGAGCAATTAATAGCTGCGAATTGCAAGCAATTATTATGAGTATGTGTTTGTCTAACATATAACGGTACTCATAAAATTTTTT